GGATGCCTCTTACTAGGTTCTCGTAACAAGATCTCTAAAACTGGGGCAGCAGCATTGCCTTTCTTGGAATGCTGGGCAGATTCTATGAGATGAGGCACGGGTAATGTCTTGACCCCGGTAGGTGCGGTTTAAACGTTGCTTGCTTGGATCCCCCTGTTCTCGCTCTGTGCGTATTCAGGGTACCTTTGTGGCATCTCCGAAGTTGCTGTGGGGGTGCAGGAGGACGGTGGCAGGCCTCCGTTTCTTCTCTCGTTTTTGCGGTCGGTGAACAGGAGAAGAATGAGGCACAAACGAGTCAACTGCAGGAGATTGGGAGCAGGGGACGACAGTCGAAAAGACTGCTGCCCCGAGCAACTCCACAGTCTCACTTTTATTAGATAGAAACAATAGCCAACAGAGGAACTGACGAAGGTCAAACATTAGTCACGTGTCTCCTGGACAAACGAGGAGGAGGGTAAAGTTTATAGTTAACCAAGCACATTCAAAGAACTCATCTAACTAACAATGGGCTCTTCTGGGAAGAGAAAGGAGCAACGAGAGGAAAAGGGAAGCAGGTGGCATTTCGTTCCACCCTGAGCTGACAGGGCGTTCCCGGGTGCTCGGCTTCCCGGAAGCAGGCGGTGTTCCGCCCTCAGCGGGCCGGGCACCCCCAGCTGCCCAGCTTCGCGGTCGTCTATCGTCCTTCTCCCCAAAGACCTGTTGCCAGTATATGTTTTTCTTAAGGCCATACCTAAACGTGCTTGGCAACTAGTAGAATCCTCCAGGGGTTATAGTCTAAGTAAACACCTTGTTCCGAGGGGCCGTTGCACTCTGGCCCAGACAGGGTGCTAACAGAACTCACGGAACAGAGCGTCCTTCCTGGGCCAGCCACAGTCCCCTCGCCTCAGGACCCCTTTCTGTACCCACTGTTTTCCACACTCTCAGACCAGGCTCATCCTTTCAGCGAGCACCCCTCCCCCATGTGTCAGAATGGGAACATTTCTTTTTGGGGGGCAGGTACAATTCTTACGAAGAGTCCTCCCCCCCTTTGTTCTGGCTGTTGCCACTCGGCTACCAGGGCTCCGGATATCCATGAAGATCGAGGGTCTGCACCCTTGTGTGGGAACTCAGCATTTCTCATAGGAAGCCACTGCACTTTGTCCCAGAGACCCAAAGCTTCCAAAAATAAAGTGCCAGTTGTCTGCTGGAGGGGACCCACGGGGATCTCCCTGGTTCTTAAAGAGACATCCAACAGACTTGTGCTGGGCCACCCCATGCCGCCTTCCAGGAGCGGAGCCCTTGGGGGTCTGCCTCTTTCTCCCCTTCTCTCCGGAGGGGAGAGCGGCCTCTTTCTCTCCTTCTCCAAAGACAACTTAAGATTCAGCTTTCTTGGGACTGCTCAGTGGAACCAGGGGTCCATGTGACCTCTGGCTCCCAAAGTTGTGTTCCTGTCATCTTCTCTTTCCTTCTCTTTGCCCATGTGATGCTAAGCCTCTTTAGTCCATTACTGTTATCGTAGTGGTGTATGGAGGACGGCTAAAGTCCACTCCGTTGGACTACTTCCTCTGTTGCTTGTCATCAAGCAATAGAGGAATTCCCTACTGTGTTCATTAGAATACGTCGTAGGTGGCTGCTTGCTGTGAAAGAGACCCTCTTGGTTTAAGCAAGAGAAGTTCTTTTTCTGTTGCTCCATCAGCTGAGTCTCTGCTGGGGGTGAGAGGGTGGTGGAGGGGTGGCTCTGCTCCTAGAAGCCCCTGGCTCCCATGGTCTTGTTCTTCCTTCCTGAGCAGGGGGCCTGATGTCGGACTTGATCCCAGGACCCTAGGATCATGACCTGAGCCAAAGGCAGATGATTAACCATCTGAGGCACCCAGGGGCCCCGTTGTTCTGCTTTCCTTGACCGTTGTTCTGCTTTCCTTGACCGTTGTTCTGCTTTCCTTGACCGGCTGCTTACATCTGCAGGTTCAAGACGGTCACTCCCCTGCCTGCAGCAGAACTCATGGGAAGGAGGCCAGGGGCTAGGGCGGGCCCACCTGTTCCCTGTCGCTGCGTGCCCAGAGAATGGCATCCTTCATTCTATTCATCTTTCACTGGCCAGAACCCAGTCCAGTGAGCACACCTAGCTGCAGGTTATACTGGAAACGCAGTCCTTCCACGGGGAGCATCACCTAACCAAAAATCAGGGCTCTGTTCATGGGAGCCAGAAGGAAGGAGTAGACATTGAGCTGCTCCTAGCAGCCTCTACCCTGTGGATGAAGATGCCCAACTCGACAGGAAGCCGTCCTCGATCCCCATAGTAAGACTGTGTATCCCCATAGTAAGAGCGTGACCTACCCCGAGTCACGCTCTTCCCAGCAGCACGTGAGCCACCATGCACCAGAACATGGGGAGCAGGGAGTGTGCTTGACTTCCCCGGGGCTGGGAGCTCCTTCGGACAACCAGGGGCCCCTGGAATCCCACAGAGGCAGGACCCGGAGTTGGGAGACCAACTGAAACCAGGAATTTCAGGAATCCTGGGGTCTTGCCAGAGTATTTTCATTCAGTTCCCTCCAAAGGCCCTGCAGGCTGGTTAAGGGAGAAGGGGTATCAAGTCTCATATTCGTTTTCTAGTCCGGCAGAGCAAATGACCCCAAAGCCAGCAGCGTCAAAGAACACCCATTTATTATGTTACAGTGTAGGGCCGATGTCCAGGCAGGCTTCCCTGAGTTGTTTGCTCAGGGTTTTACAAGGCCAAAATCAAGTGTTCAGCCAGATGGGGCTCTCCTTCAGGGCCCGGGGAAGAAATCTTCAAATCCCCCTCCTGCCTCAAATCTCTGGTTCCTCCTCTGTGAGGAGCAGAGAACATTCTCTGCTTCTGAAGGGCTCCTACGATGAACGTAGACTTACCTGCAGAGTCTGCCTCTGTTTATAACTGAACATAATTACGGAAGTGGCATCTCACCACAGGACCCCCCACACTCCAAGGGCAGGACAGTGTATGAGGGTCAGGGTCACTGGGCACCAGGCTTAGAAATCTACCTACTGCAGAGGCCAAACCTGACAGCAAAAGGGAAGACGCAGGTCAGCATTAGCAACAGGCTCCCTGGGAACTTGAGTGGGACGAAGGAGGTCAGGGCACAGTGTCCAGAACAAGGGGTGGTCTTGCGAGTGGTCTGCTGGGGCTCGGCAGGGAGGGAGGCTGACCTGGCCAACCTTCCAGATCCAAGGCAGACCCACGTGCCCTGGTGGAGGCCCGGACCTCCACTGAAAGCAGAGACCTTTACCTTCAGCTGCAAGGAGGGTCTTCAGAAGTTCTAAAGAAGGCCTTGAAGTTGGAGGCATTATTTTGGGAATGTGTGCATTCTAGGAGAGGATTCACAGCCTTTATCAGATTTTCTGAGGCATCAAGGAAAGAAAAGAAAGAAAAAGAACCAAGTATTGAATTAATACCCAATATTATTAACATTAATAATATTGAATTAATTCTTTGGCTAAGTAGCAAGCATGCTTCAGTGACCCGACGAGGCACCACTGGAAGACATGGCCAAGTCGCTCAACTTCCTTCAAGGTCCAGAGCACTGCACTGCTAAGTTTGGTTCTTGCTGGAAACCAAGATCTTGTCAGCCTGCTCACAGCACCTGAGACAGGGCGTGCAGGGGTGTAGGTCTGCGATCAGGTCACGTTGGAAACACTTGTCTCTCATGACCCTCAGGATAGAACCCAAATTTCTCTTCCCCAACACACCTGCTGTGGTCTGAATGTTTGTGTATCCCAAAATTCAGGTTGCAGTCCTACCCCCCAAAGATGGTGGTATCAGGAGGTGGGACCTTTGGGAGGTGCTGAGATCATGAGGATGGAGACTTCCTGGGTGGGATTAGTATTTTTACGAAGGAGACCAGAGGGAGCTCGTGCCCTTCCATGATGTGAGGGCACAGCAAGAAGGGGGCCATCTAGGGAACACCTTCTCACCAGCTTCTCACCAGCAACCTAGGGTTGCCAGTGCCTTGTTCTCTGACTTTTCACCTTCTGGAACTGTGAGAAATACATTTCTGTTATTTATAAATGACCCAGTTTGTGGGATTTTTGTTAGAGCAGACTAAGACTTTCTGTGTCTTCTGCTGGGCCCCGGATCCCTGGGCTGGCCTCTGGCATGGCACTTCGCAGAGCACATTGTCGATGGCTGTCTACCTGTCAGTCCATCCTCCCCCCTCCCCACAGAAAGTCCAAGTTTGTAGCCTCCAGCCAGTGCCCGACCCACAGCATGTGCTCAAAGAGTTGTGGAAAAGAGGAGCAGATCAGCACGTCAGCCAATTTTCTGATGCTCCAAGTTGGAAGTCATCCTAGCAAAGAGAAGTTTCTAGAAGATCTTGTTCTGGGAGAAGGACATTTAAGGGTGAGTCACGGCCCTGAAGTTAGAAAGGTCAGAGCCTCCAGCAAACTCGATCTCCCTTCTAGCTGCTGAGGAGAAAGACAAAGGCTGGATGGTGGCCTTTGACTTGAGTCTGGAGCAATGACTCATATGGGCCTGGGCCTTCAAAGCCAGGCCACTTAAGACAGAGCCATTAGACCTGCAACTGGGAGGTGGTGGCTCTGAAGAGGATGTCCTTCCCTGCCGGTCCCCGCCTCCCTCAATCCCGTTCCAGACTGCCCAGGAACTGAGCCAAACACCCACCCATGGCTGAGACCTTTGAGGTCATTTAGACCAACTCCCCATGCCCAGAGGGACAAATGAGGGCCAGAGAGGAGGTGGCCTGCCCCGAGTCACACAGAGTCACAAGCAGGGTGGGGGCAGCCACCAGCCCCCATGTTTTGGCACATCCCAGCCGAGTGCACCCTGCACCCCTACACCACATTGCTCCGGACCACAGGACTGGGAAAGAGGAGTGACCCACCCTCCCCGGACCCCCTTCCCACCCCCGCCCCCAACTTCGAGCAAGAGGAAGGGATTCAGGATGGGCTGGAACTACAATTTTTATTGCTTATTTTCCTCAGGACACACTTGTCAGCCAGGGACTGGTCCCTCCCTGCCTGGGGGGGGTGGGGGGCGGGGAGGGGGGGGAGGAGCGGAGGAGGGCCATCCTCTTCTTTGCAGGCAGAGAGGAGGGAAACTCTTATAAGCTCAGGAACGTGAGCACAGAGCCCAGGGAGCCCAGGATGATCTTGGTTGACAGCGAGAGTCCTGCTGCTCCTGGAAGAGAAGGAGAGGGTGAGCAGAGTGGTAAGGAGCAGACCTGGGGCAGCTCTGTGGGACAAAAGCGAGAGGTCAAAGACTCCAGGGCCCCTCAGGAAGGTCTGAGGCCCGGGGCCCCAGTCAGCACCCTCCCGTTTCCTAAAGCCCTCCAGATCTCTGCTGTGGGAGGGCAACTGCCCGCAGCCCGCTGGTGAGCACCCCCATGGAGAAGCCCAGAGCTGGGAGCTGTTCCTCTCCAGGGAAGAAGGCTGAGCCCAGGCAGGGCGGAGATCCCCGAGGCACCCAGCAACCGCAGCCTGAAGCCAGCACACCCTGTGCCTGGGGCCTCCCTCCTGCACCTCCCGGGGAGAACCTGGAGGGTGACGCTTAGGAGCAGACAAGGAGGGTGGGGGAGGCTAAGATCTGGGCCGGGTACTGAGGCACTGGTCCTCCTTCCCCCTCACAGCAAGCCCCCGGGGACACTTACCCACGGACTGCAGTGTCGCCACCAGGCTGCCAGCGGCGATGCCACCCCCGTTGGCGATGGCAGCAGAGGACATCATCTTGGCTGCTAGCGAGGAGGCAGCGATTCCGGCCCCAGTGAAGCCCATGGCGCCCAGCACGGTGGGCACGGATGCCACGGACACGACTGTCAGGTTGGGTTAAGAAGTGGGCTCAAGGGAAGGGACCCGCACACACTCAATCAGGCTCAGGGGGCTTTGGGGGGCCCAGGCAAGGGGGTGAACTCTGAGCTCAGGAGAGACTATGGGCATGGCCCATTTTTCAGAGAGGAAACAGGAGCTCAGAAAAGTCAGAGACACCCCCAAGGTCACAGGGTAAGTGCCTGCAAAGAGGAGATGGGGCCCCTGCTGGGATTGCCTCCACGGTGACACCCGTTGGTCCAAGCTCCTTGATTCTTGTTTCCAGTTCCTGGCTTCCTCCCCATGTCCACCAGTCCACTTCCTCCCCACCATCTGCGCAAGTCCTGGGCAGACCTGGGCCTGGACAAGACGGTTGCTCCCCAAGACCCAGGCTCAGGGGAACAGATAAGGACTTGAACCCCTTCCCTACAAAGACTCACCTCCTCCTATCACAGCTGCCACAGTCTGGACTAGAAACCAAAAGAATATTCTGTGAGTTCTTGGCTCTCTGAGCCTCCCCTTGGCTCCCTGAGCCTACAGCCCACCCACGGGGAGGGCATTGTCCATGTGGGAGATGGGAAGGAATGACCTCATCTGACACCTGCCTACTGCCTTCAGACGGGGGGATTTCTGGGAAAGGGGGCCCCTCAGTTCTGAGCTTGGCAAGGGTTGCTGGGGAGTCAGATTCCAGACTCAAATGAGTTGTCCCAGATGGATTTGCACGCTTTGACCTCAAATTATCTGGAGACAGAGTTTGAGGTCCTCATTCCAGAAAACCCAGTGATCACATAGAGTCTGCTTTGTTTTCTCAATCTTGTCTGCAGATAGGTTGGTGGGGCCCTGTTTGCGGGGAGAGCAAAAACGATCTTTCTCTTTCTCTCTGCCGTCCAAGCCTGATTGTTTAAAACAAAACAAAACAAAAACAAACACATCCCTACAGAAGGCTGCCCTGCATCCCTTCTCGGGTGGACGAGGGATACTTGGCAGAGTGGTTTAGGGCTTGGTGGTGTTGGTCGAGGCGAAGGAACCGGATGCCTTGCTCTCTGAACAAGGATGTTCGTTCAGGGTCAATGTTTTCTTAGGGGGAGATTATATTACTTTCTCCTGTTGTCCCACAGATCTTTCCAGACAGCAATAAATCCTCACGGAGAAAGATGTGCTTCATTTTGCGCTGCCCGGCAGGTCAGGACAAGCGCTGCTGAGCACTTGAACCCTGCTTGAGATGAGTCAAGGCTGGACCTATTGCCCCCTTGTCTGAGAAGCCCCCCAGAGGCAGCCAATCTGGACTCAGCACTGCCCCCCTGTGACCACAGCCTCTCAGAGCACTAAGACCCTTTCGGCTTGCACGGGCCTGTCTCTCCAACATGTGGGTCCCTAGGGGGCGGGCAGAGGTCCTGGTCAGCTGCTGCCATAAGGGTCAGGCCTGCAAAAGCGCGCAGGAATGAATTCAGCCAGCTCCCCAGGAAGAGAGCCTTCCGGGGATAGGAAGGGAAGTTAAAAGGTGGGAGTCAAACCCTTGAAGCTGGACATTATGGTTTGGCTGGAAGGGTGATGCCGGGCTGGCCGGCAGCTTGGCCTATCTGGGTCCCGATGTGCACAGAAGGCCCATGGGAAAGGGGTGCCGTTCCCCTGCTAACCTGCTGCGGGGCACCCCCAACTGTCATCCATAGGAGGGTGGCCTGGTCTCTCCAGGCTATTCAGAACCCACTCTGTCCTGAGGCCTCCTCCCTACACCAGATTCTCTGCATTTTGGTTCTACTTCCTGTCCTAGGTTTGGTAGTAACCCCACCTCCCTGCCCAAAGGCCCAGGGCCAAAAACAATTCCCTCATTTGTAAATAGGGGACAATGGTGACCTTCTGGGGTTGCTATGGCAATTAAAACAATTGATAAATGTTAAGTGTTTGGCAGAGTGACTAGGACAGCAGAGCATGGGATAAAATCTGTCCTCATTATTTTAAGGATTGCTTATCATAAGCTTAGGAGTCCTTTGTGTTACTGGTAAACAGGAGAGACTGCTGGCTGGAGACTTGTCTCGGGTCTAAGTATTGGGTGGGGGCCCGAGAAGCGGAACTCTGTCACCCTGGGCCAGTTACCTCCGGCTCTGGAAAGAGTAAATGCTGCCATTCTGGAGACTTTCAGTGGATGCCACGGAAGCTGTAGCCTGGTTCAGGGCAACTGTGGATGACAGGGTGAGTCCAGAGAAAGAACAGAGGATGAGTGCACAGGGTCAGACCTCAGCAGTGGTCAGAGGCCCCGCCCTCCCCTTCCATACTATGCTGCTGTTTGTGCTGGGGAAGGAGGAAGGACCCCAGGGTGTCCACACCAGGAGAGTGGAAGAGAAGTGGCATGTTTGCAACAATTGGAAGCCAGTATTAGACACTCACCTAGTGACCCTGACAATCTCAGGGTGGAAAAAGCAATACGGTGAAGTCAAGAGCACACTATTCTATACATACATTAAAACACATGCAAACAAAAAGCCAACACCCATTTTGCAAAAATACATGAGAAAAACAGATACACATTAAGCATATTGGAAAGGCTGACTCTGAGGGAGGGAGGTATCGCAGGGGTGGTTGGGGGGCGTGTGGTTAAAAAGAAAACCACAGGCCCCACAATGGTGTCCCCTCAGTTAAGGCCCCAAGTGTAAATTGAGACTTAATACCTGACCTGGCACTTTCAGCCCCCCAGGAATATAACCCTTAACCAGGCAATGTGAGATTTCCCAGGGAGCACTAGGAAATTTCCTGATGGGCCCCCTCCGTTCCCCTTAGGAGGGTGATCTTGCCTACAACAATGGTTTCTCTCCTAATAATTTCTTGTTTTCTGCTCTTCTACCTTTTAAAAACTTGGATCCTCTGTAGCCCCCGGGAGCTCCCCTCTCCTTGCTCATTGGGAAGCTGGCCAAATACATGAGTTGACTACAAATAAAGTCAATTAGATCTTTAAAATGTCCTTGGCTGGATTCTTCTAATATAATGGAGGAAAAGGGGAAGATAAACAGCAAGAATGAACAGCTAAGACTGGAGAGGGAGCTCACACAAACTAATGAAGAAAACGGGCCCGGAATGAAGAATTTTGTTAAAATCAGGACATGTCAGTGAGAACCAAGGAGATGAAGCTAGAAAAAGACTCCGTCCCTCCCCATCGCCCTCCTCGCCCCCCACCCACCAGCCCCTCTGGGAGGGCTCCCCCCCGGAAACGACCTCTGTGGCTTTGGCCATGCTCGCTGTCATTACTCTGGATTCCATTATCTTAGAAACCAGGGAAGAGGACAAGGTGGCCACCTGGACGAATTGCATGGCACAGAAATTGACATGAGTGTGTCAGGCTGGAAGGAGCTCAACACCTCCATTTTGCCTCAGTTTTCCTTTCTAATTGATTCGGTTTGTCTTACAGCTTATCTTTAACTCGGGCAGAAGCCTGGGTGGGCAAAGCATCCTGCAGTGGGAACCAACTGCCCCCAACCCCCCAGCAATAAAGGCCCTACGATTGGGGCTCCGGGGTGGCTCAGTGGGTTAAGCCTCTGCCTTCAGCTCAGGTCATGGTCTCAGGGTCCTGGGATGGAGCCCTGCATCGGACTCTCTGCTCAGCAGGGAGCCTGCTTCCCCCGCGCTCTCTCTCTGCCTGCCTCTCTGCCTACTTGTGATCTCTCTCTCTGTCAAATAAATAAATAAATAAATAAATAAATAAAAATCTAAAACAAACGAACAAACAAAAACCCTGCTGCTGACCCCAAGGCCATGACCTTCACTGCCCCATCTCCAGTACTCAACGACTGTCCCACATTTTCCTTATATAAACCTGGCCGCGTTTTCAGCACTTTGGAGACAGCTTTTGGGACACTAGCCCACTGTCTTCCCCATGTTGGCCTCAACTGAAATAAATCCCTTTCTTGTCCCACCCCTGCACGTGTGTGCACGCTCTCTCTTTCTTTTTCTCTCTCTGCCTTTGGATTTTGTCAGCAGTTAGCCCCGTGCCCTGACTCCTGGTTACAGGACAGCAGCCCATCGAGCAAGTAGAGAGATGCTTGGAGAAGCTGCGCAAAAATGAAGGCTTTCCTAAGCAGCAAAACGGAAGGTGAGGAGTCATCAGTAAAAGAAAAGAAAGGATTGTTTCAGGCCTGGACATCAGGAGGAAACAGGGTTTGTATCAGGCAGATGGCAAATGACCTCGCTAGTGCTGAGCAGGACAGATCAGATGGACTTTCCAAAGGTCATCTTCCTGGGACAGGTTGATGCTGTGCTGAAGTCTTGGTGTGCTGCGGTTGGGGGCAAATGACTCCAGTGTGGGCTTCCTTCTTTTTGAACAGGATGGAGCTTTGGTGCAGGGAGGGGACCCCAGAAGGGAGGGGGATCATGCCCACAACTTTGAAAAACTCTGTCCAGTGGGGACAGAGAGACCTCTCTGAACTTGTCAGCCTGATGTCCGGAAAGGGTCCTGGAAATGGTAAAGGAAGGGTGGGGAGTGGACTTTATTTCTCCAAGCCGGCTGCTTCCTTCCTCCCAAAAAGCCCAGCGCCAACTTCTTAGCCATTTCTGGGAATTTCTTAAATTTCCACAGAGCAGTTTGTGTGTTTTTTTAAAGATTTTATTTATTTATTTGAGAGAGAGTGAGCAAGAGAGCAAGAGTGAGAGAGAGGGAGAGAGGCAGAGAGAGAGCTCGAGGGGCCTGGTGGTTAGAGGGAGAAGGAGGCTCCCTGTTAAGCAGGGAAGCCTGACACGGGACTGCATCCTGGAATTCCCACAGAGCAGTTTAAAAGGCACCAGAATTAGGAAATAAGAACCAATTACGTTTTAAGGTATATACTGTCGTCCAGTTGCTCTGGGTTCCTGTTCTCATGCCATCCCCTTCATGAGGGAAACAAAAGTAAGAGAACCGTAACTTCAATCTCCTTACAGCTTGGAGCTCACTGACAGATACCTGAAATGTGTACAACATGACATTCTTCAAGAAATTTTCTCTCTCTGCCTTTTTTTTTTTTAAGATTTTATCTATTTATTTGGGGAGACACAGATCACAAGCAGGCAGAGAGTCAGGCAGAGAGAGAGAGAGAGAGAGAGAGGGAGGAGGAAGCAGGCTCCCGCTGAGCAGAGAGCCCGATATGGGGATCAATCCCAGGACCCTGAGATCATGACCCGAGCCGAAGGCAGAGGCTTTAACCCACTGAGCCACCCAGGCACCCCAAAATTTGTGTATGTTTTATTAAGGACTAAAAGTAACCCCATCTTAACAGCAGTTGGCCCCTCAAAATCCTGAAAGCCTTGCTTCCAAATTCCTTAGAGACACTATCCCTAATCCTCACTAATTGCAATATATATAATAACCTGTCGCTCCTCACAATCCCAGTGCAGCTCTTTCTGTCTATGGGTCCTGTCCCCATGCTGTAAGAAAAGTACCTTTTAGCACCATCAAGTGTCTCAAGAATTCTTTCTTGACCGTTGGACTCAATGATACCGCACCATCCCCCCTTAAGACAGTGAGAACAAAGAGATGACTACCCCCATTTTAAAGATTTTATTTATTTATCGGACAGAGAGATCACTAGTAGGCAGAGAGGCAGGCAGAGAGACAGAGGCGGGGGAAGCAGGCCCCCCGCTAAGCACAGAGCCCGATGCGGGGCTCCATCCCAGGACCCTGAGATCATGACCCAAGCCGAAGGTAGAGGCTTAACCCACTGAGCCACCCAGGCATTCCGACTATCCCCATTTTATAGATGGGGAAACCCCTCTGGCACAGAGAGGGTAAGTGACACATCCCAAGTCCAGCTGCTTCTAAAGCCTGGGCTTGGAATGATTCCAATTTGATCCTCCTGACACTTATCCTTTCCCCTGGCCTCACCCGCTGCCACCCAGGCTTGAACAAGGCTCATCGTCCCAGAGTCCCAAGATCAAACGGCAGGGACTTACCCTTCCTCCCGACTGACCTGATTAGGAACAAAAGAGCTTTCTGGGAGTGGATTCCCGTGGCCTTCCCTTGCCTACACTGAGCCTACTACCCACTAGAGCTGGAGGCCTCAGGAAGGAGCTCCCTCTGCCCACCCCTCCCTGTCTTACCCAGAAGCAGATCCTCTGGTAACCGACCTGAGGTCTGAGCTTGGCTGTGTTTTCCAGATCAGACTCCCGGCTTTTATGGCAATTTCCTCTTTGACTCCCACTTTGAGCACAACCAATGGGATAGGTTTTGTTTTTACTGGGAATTGGAAACCGAAACTGGAAACTGAAACAAGAAATAGTTTGGGTTTTGGCCAAATTATAGAAATTGACCTGGTGGGGGTGGGGGCTGGATGTAGAGTACAAGATGGAGTCACTCATGTCAACTGGGGATGTAAGCAGCCAGGGGTGTTGCTTCTCTAAGACCAGACATCACCGAAAACCAGCACAGGCTGAGGACACACCCAGAACTGAGAACCAGCAGAGCCAGAAGTCTGCCAAGGTCCAGGACTGATTAAATCCCTTGAAAAGGGGAGGATTTTTGTAGCAAACTGGCAGACTTTTCAGACGCCCATCCTTTCGTGTCTGATCACATCAGAAAAGCAACTGCCCGTGGCAAGACCGTTATCTGGGACATTAGGCCGCCATCCGGACGGTGGGCTTTCTCAAATAGATTTTATGCCTTGCTTCAACAGCTTGTCACTCAACTTACTGGACAGTCGTGAGGTAAGCAGATCGATCGTGGGTTCAGTAACACTTTTAGGTGTACAGAGGAGGGTCTTAGTGTCCCTACTACATATGTTGTTTCTTCAGTAGTTTTTATTTAAAATAATCGATGTACCCAAGTGGCACATTTTCGGCAGCCTGCCTTTGGCTCCTACACCGGTCAAGGGCAGAATCTAGTTATTATAGAGAGGGGATCTGGTCACTGTATCCACCACCATCAGCTAATATAAAATGCTTTGTCATTTAATTTGGGGACAGGATGTACTCCCTGCATAATAAAGGTCATGAGAAATCTGATCAAAGTTCTAAAAAAAAAGGATGAATATTGATTTCTAATAAAGACAAGGTGGTTTTCAGAATAATCTTAAGCCTTGCAGTGGCCAATGTTCAGCTATTTGGAAAGTCTGCACTGAAGGCCCATCATGGCAGACACTCATCTGGGCACTGAGATAGTGCACGAGGCAATTAAGATCAAAGTACCTGTCCTTAACAGTTTATAAGCCAGTGTGGTGGGAGGAGGAAATAAGATAAACAACTATATAGTTATGCAATCTATTATTTGAAGAAGTACCAAGGCAAAAGGAGGTGGAGGAGGGAGTCGGGCAGAATTGTGGGGGAAAGTCCTTCCAGGTAAAAGGAACAGAGATGGCAAAGAACCAGGTATGAGAGGAACAGGGAGGAGACCAGTGTGGCTACAGCAGGTGGTTGAGGGAGAGAGGCAGGAGCCAAAGACAGAGGCTGACAGGGAGCCAGGCCATCTGGGGCTCCCTTAGCCATTGCAAGGACCTGGTCTTGATCTCTGAGCAAAATGGGAAGCTCTTACAGAGGCTGAGAGAGAAATGGTACCATCAGGTTCACAATAGCTGTTGCGCCAAGAACAGACTGAAAAGAAATTTGTGTGCTTTAAATTTAAATATTCAGCATGGATGGCATGACATAAACACGTTATTTTTGTTAGCTTAAGCTACACTCTGATGGCAGTCTGTTGAGGATTAAGCTACACTCTGAGCCCTGTTCAGGAACCCACACTCTCCCCATCAGCTACATTCGGGAGCAGGAAATTGTGAATTCACACGAAGAATGTGTGTGTGTGTGTGTGTGTGTGTGTGTGTGTGTGTGTGATTGTATGTGCACGTTCGTGTATGCAAGCTGTGTCATAATGAGTCTCAACATCCTAACAACATTTGGGGTGGGGGAGTTCACCTGGATTCTTCAGGGGTGTTGAACAGGAACTGAGGCTTCTAGTCACTTCTAGACGGAATGATACATGGTTGGCA